TGCACAATTTAGTCAGTCCCCTGCTGGGCAATGACCAAGGTTTAATAAACTGTTCCTGCTCATAATCTCCCATGGAGATTTTTCAAATAAAAAGCATCAATAGATATGACTCTAAGAGACAAACAGAATCTTAAAATTAGTCTCCGGACTCAACTTAGATGTCACTTTGTCAAGTACTTTATCTTCTTGACTTTCTTCAACAATATCTCATCAGATGGTTGTTACTTGAATACCTCCAGTGGTGGTGAACTCTCTCACACAGAAGGCAGTCCACTGAACTTTAATCTAACTGATAGAAAAGCTTTCTTACTGATAAACAGAAATCACCTCCTAGAAACTTCTATCAATTAGTCCTGGTTCTGTTCTTTGAGGTCACACAAAACAAGTCAACTCTTCCTACTTGACAACTCTTTGGAGGTATGAAGACTGTTAAGGCTGGGCATGGTGGCTCATGCCTGTAATCCCAGCACTTTGGGAGGCTGAAGTGGGTGGATCACCTGAGGCCGGGAGTTCGAGACCAGCCTGGCAACATGGTGAAACTCAATCTCTGTTAAAATAAAAAAAAAAAAAATTAGCTGGGCATGCTAGCACATGCCTGTAATTCCAGCTATTCAGGAGGCTGAAGCAGGAGAATTGCTGGAACCTGGGAGGTGGAGGTTGCAGTGAGTCAACATTGTGCCACTGCACTCCAGCCTGGGTGACAGAGTGAGACTCCATCTCAGAAAAAACAAAAACCAAAACAAAAAAATAAAGACTATAAATATTGGGTACCCTGATCCTTATCATCTCTACTTCATATTTCAAGATATTGATTCCTTTTAACCATTTTCTAGGACGTTCATTGAGACATATTAACAAGCTAAGATTTCCAGGTGCTACAGAAGTCTAATGTTAATCTAACAAAGCTGGGGTACACTAAGTGAGACAGAAAATATTCAACTCTGCTTCCTTCCTGATTCTCCACTAGGGATCTAATATTTCCTCTATAAATCTAAATGGCTTTGGGTGGAAATTATTTTACTGTTGTTCTCTTTGTGTCCAGCTAAAGAATAAAAAAATAGTGCTACAAGGTTTGGTGGTATCTTTCTTTGGGGACAGCATAGCCAACTTTGAGTATGGATGCAGATAAAAGTAAAGAATATAAACTACCCTAATTAGTTAAAATCAAGGCAATTAGAACTTTAATGATCTGGGCACAGCCTATTTGATGGTGGGGTCCATGATAAAATAGCAAAGCCCAAAACATGACCCTCGGACAAGATAAAACACCAGATACCTTTTGCCTCTGCCTCTGTCCCTTTGATTACACATACCAGGTTCCATGGTAATGGAAGAGACTAGAGATGATATCATATATTGCGGCATATAAATTATCGTGAAAATATCTCTCATTTGGGCTTGATCCACATTACTAAGCTCCCATAAAGAATGCTGGAGGACTAATAATTTTCTACAAGTCTGTATAAGCCCAGAGTTCTCTACCTCCTGTATCCCAAAGATCTTATGAGCCATGTCTGTGTTGAGAAGTCTTGGTTCAGCAGTTTCCAGGTCCCCAGTTGCCTGGATCTTCCTCATTGGAGTATGTTTCCATTTGTCTATATCCAATTTAAAATGCAGAGTTTAGAACTGAGCATGGGTCTCCAAACTATGGTCTTTCCAGGAAAGAGAACCTACCTGCTCAGGATTTTAAAGCCATATTTTTATGAAGGCAGATAAAGCTTACATTAGGCTTATAATCCTGTTGAATTCAAAACCTTTTACTACCAATGCTAGTAAGTGCCTTCATCTTAAACTCCCTTCTGCCAAGGTGTCCCCAGATAGGCCCACCTTCCTCTATAAAACAGAGGCAAATTACATTGATTTTTGATTCAGGCTGACTTGAGGTTAAATCCCAGTTCTGCTTCCCACATGCTGGGCTGTATTGGAAATATTTTTTTAATTTTCTGTATATGATGATGTTTTGACATCTTAAGAAATCTTACTGGCTTGGGAGAGACTGCTTCTCAGTTTTTAAGCATAGCAAAAGGACTCTGTCTTTGATATGCAAACTACTCAGTCCAGAGCCATCCCTCTTCTACCTGGCTCATACACCCCAGAAAGCAATATTCCTCTGTCTTCACCATCTCAGGCAGAGGGGAATCACCCTTACAGCTTAAAGCCAGACAAAATGATTCAAACTAGCCAATCGCTCACCCTGACCTGCCTTACCTTTCCAGCGGGAATCCCAATACCAAAAACCAAGGAGTGGCCTTAGGTCTCCCCTTTCCGCTCCTTGTCTTTTGCCTCCTGACCACCCTGGTGTCTTTCCCATGTGGCCCTGTGTGGTGTGCTGTGCTCCAGTCTCTAGGACCCTCTGAGTATAACAAACTGGTTTTTTTTTTTTTTTTTTTTCCAGAGGCTCTCCTGTGTCTCCTCTGTGGCTGCACCTGACTGACTAAAGAAAATGTATATATACACCATGGAATACTATGCAGTCATAAAAAAGAATGAGATCACATCTTCTGTGGGAATGTAGATGGAGCTGGAGGCCATTATCCCTAGCAAACTAACATAGAGACAGAAAGCCAAATACCACATGTTCTCACTTATAAATGGAAGCTAAATGATGAAAACTCATGGACACATAGGCAGGAACAATAGACACTGGAGCCTACTTGAGAGTGGAGAATTGAAGGAGGGAGAAGAAGGGAAAAAAATAACTATGGGGTACTAGGCTTAGTACCTAGGTAACAAAATAATCTGTACCACAAACCATGTAACATGAGTTTACCTATATAACAAACCTGCACATGTATCCCTGGACCTAAGTTAAAAAAGAAAAAGAATATAAAATGTGGATAAACTTAGAAAAGATTCATCTTGAGAGATAATAGGCATCATTGTTAAACACAAGGTCTCAGAAGCCAGACTGCCTAGGTTCTAATCCTGCCTTTCACCCCTTACTGCTAACAAGTTATGTAAACTTTTCTGTCCTTGCTGTCTTCAACTATAAAATGAGGATAATAGTACCATCTACCAGCCAGGCATGGTGGCTCATGCCTATAATCCCAGCACTTTGGGAGGCTGAGGTGGGTGGATCACGAGGTAAGGAGATTGAGATCATTCTGGCTAACACAGTGAAATGCTGTCTCTACTTAAAAAAAATACAAAAAATTAGCTGAGTGTGGTGGTGCACACCTGTAGTCACAGCTACTCAGAAGGCTGAGGCAGGAGAATCGCTTGAACCCGGCAGGTGGAGGTTGCAGTGAGCCAAGATTGCACCCCTGCACTCCAGCCTGGGCAACAGAGCAAAACTCTGTCTTAATAATAATAATATAATAATAATTATAATAATAATAATAATGTACCATATACCTCCTAGAGTTGTTGTAAGGATTAAATAACCTGACATTTTAAGGGCTTACCACAATGCCTGGCACATAATGTATATTTGATGAGGTAGCTATTATTATTATTATTATCACCTCATAGAAATGTGAGAATGAAACGATATGTAAACTGACTAACACACATCTAGTATATAGGAGGTACTCAGCAATGGGAGTTACATCTAGCTATTTTTTATTGTGGTAAAATACATAACATGCAAGTTACCATTTTAACCATTTTTCAGCGTGCGATTCAGTGGCATTAAACACATTCACATTTTTGTGCAACCATCATCACTGTCCATCTCCAAAAGATTCCATCTTCCTGAACTGAGACCTCAAGCCTACTAAATAATAATACTTCATTTTTCCTTTTCCTTCGCCTCTGGCAATCACCATTCTCCTTTCTGTCTTTATGACTGTGACTATGCTAAGTAATTCACGTAAGTGGTATCATATAATATTTCTCTTTCTGTGCCTGGCTTAATTCACTCAGCATAATGTCTTCAAGGTTCATACACATTGTAGCACATGTCAGAATTTTCTCCCATTTTAGAGCTTCATAAAATTTCACTGTATATATATTATATATACAACATTTTGTTTATATATTTATCCATCTACAGACATGGGTTGCTTCTACCTTTTGTCTGCTGAAAGTAATGGTGTTATGATCAGGGGTGTACAAATATCCATTCTATTACTAGTTATTTATGAATATTTTGTTCTATAACTTTTTTTCAAGAAAATCCATTTTTACATTTAAACTATCATCTTACTACCCTTATGCTATTTTCATACTAGTCGTGAAAATAATAATGCAAAATGACCAAGGTCACGTAACTCGGCTAGTTAAGTATTGTTTATAAAGTGCTTGATAAATTATCTTCATGAAATTCATGAAAGTGGGCATACATGGAAGTGTAAAACACTGAATACATATAAGGAAAAAGACTTCTATTTGACTCTTGTTCTCCTGGAAAATTGATTGTAGAAGGTTTTTCTATTTTCCCCTTACCATCAATGAACAGGACTGACAGTGTCAGGAGAGCCCTGGGGATAAATCTGGAAGTTAATTGCAGCTGTAAGGTTGATGAAAATACAAACCACTTCTTTGGTGGGTTCAACAAACATATCAGCCCTTAAATTTCCTGATCGTGCAGTGATAGATTTTTTTTTTAAGATTGAGAACTCCACTTATTCTTTTTGATTACAGCAATTGCAAGGTGCTCCAGGTTACACTCAAGAGAGTCTGGATGCTTTGACCGAGTCAAAAGATGTACATGTATCTCCCTCTAGGACGTATGTCATTAAAATTGCCAACATACCAAGACGTTTAACTGAAACTGTCACATTACCCATTGATCTTCAAAGCTCATCAATCTTCCATCAGATTACCAAGATAGTGTGACACTTTTATCACAATTACACTGTAAGAAATACAGTGCAGTCATACTGTGGCCAAGTCAGTAAAGAGACTTGCTTTGATGGATGATCACAGTTGATCAAGTTTGTCAGTTGCTTTATGTGTTTTTATGCTTGTTTTATATGCCTGCCCAGAAAGTAGAGGCTTTTAAGGGCACATCTGTCAATGGATTCAATTTCACAATGCCATGTGATTGTTTTACTCACCCCTGTCTTCTCATCAAATATTTTGATTCCTCCAAAGGAGATGGTTAAAAAGATTTTCTGTTTGTGTTCTCCTTTGGAACGAGCGCCAGCAACAACACCCTATTGAAAGGAAGAACATGGCTTTTACTTTAGCGTTTTCATTTGAAAATTCTCTCTGGTCCCAAAGGCACGTCAGATATCATCAACCAATGCCACCAATCATGCACATTGCTTTTCCTTCACACTTCCACATTTCTCTACTCAATGCACTCACATCTACTTGGTGTTTTAAGGTAATGCTTATCCTAGCAGTTCTAACACATTGTACAGAGAAATATTTGAATGTTCACTCACTTAACTAATAATGATTCATAGAATTCCTAATGGTGTCTAGATGCTCAGCTCAGAATTGGGGGTCTCAAGATAGATACAATATGGTCTTCAAGTTGATGTCTTTTCTGGATTTTCTATTAGACATGGTTTTAATCTTTTAAATAAAGGCGAGTCACTAAATATATTCCTACATATAATTTTATTTTTTATAATTCTGGAAAAAGTTTTCATATGAATCAATTTTAGATAATAGAAAGAAAATAAAAACAAATGCTAGACTGTCCATTCTGCTGGAAAAAAATGTGTTTATCATAGTTAACTGCCTATTGATTGTAATTTTTATCCAAAGACATTTTCTGTTTACCACTACCCTTGTTCCTGTCATTCTTGCATTCCATTTATCAAAAAAACTGTTTCCTCACTTTCTCAAATGTTTTATAACCCAAAGATATGTCTACCAGTCAGTGAGAAGGTAAGCTTCATCAAAGGGTGAGATGGTACTTTGCTCACTGCTTTATCTCTAGTGCTTAGGACAGTCCCTGGAGGGCAAGAGGTATTCAGCAAATAATTGCGAAACAAATACGTGCTGTCCAGAGTCCCCCAAAGTTGATATGATTCAAGTTAAGAATAAAGACATTTGCTTTTCAAATTAGATTCTGTGGTGGCCAGTTACAGGAAAGCATGAGCTCCATACTAGGGTACAACTCAGGGGATGAAGACCTTTCAAGGGATCTACACTCTCAGGGGCTGTTACCAACCATGCAGTAGGGACCTTGAAGCTTCTACCCTCTCATTACTGGCAGCCTCTAAATATGGCGAGAATAAGCCTAACTCTCCAGCAGTATAGTTCTGGGCTTTTAGAAGAAGAAAAATCTAAAATAATATTGATTTCATATTTTCAGGAGATAAAAAGTACTATGTACTATTCTTAGCATCAGTGTTAGAGAATGGTTGGTGTTAGAGAGCAGTAGGTACAACAAGAGGATGTTTAATTATCCTCACTTTGTGTAATAGAAATATTCTGTGGAATCAGAATATCTAAGTTATATTCCTGGTTCTGTGTAATCTTTGACAAATTATTTAACCCCTTAGTTTCACTTCCTCAAGTGTAGATGTATTTTTTTTGCATGGTTGAGATAATTAAATGAACATTTACGTAAAGTACTTAGCACAATACCTGGTATACTGAAGAAATGTAATAAAAATTTCTTCTAGAAAATGCATGAATGTCCATTACAGTTTGTGTTCCAGTTCCTGTTTAGACACCTACTAGTATGCAATTCCCCCTTTCATATGTCTCCCATTCATTCTCAAGCACGTCTTACAGACTCACAGACATGCAGAATGTATAGAGCCACAGAAAACCCTAAAGCGAATAGATCCAAGTTTCTCAACTGACAGATGAGAAAAATGATAATCTGAAAGGTGGTAGAGTCCTGAGACGGCACAGGTAATTGGTGAAAGAGCTGAAACTACAACTCAGCTTTCCTAGCATGTGGAGCTGGGACCTGTAATTATCCATGTGTCTTCTTTCTAGGGAGCCTAAGTCTCTCTCCCTACAACCCCCGCCCAATCTTCCTCTTTCAGTCCTTCAGAGCTGCTCCATATTGACATAAGGCTCCTCCTCCAGTGAATGATCTCTAAAAGGTTAGAGGAAGTCATAACTCAGAAACAAAGCAGAGTTCTCTGTCTCTTCAATCCCGCCCCACATTCAGTAATTTCGAGATTGCTCAGTGTGCTCCTTGTTTTCCCATGAATTCACTGTGGGTTGCTTTTAAGGAACATGCAGAAATGGCCAAACTATGTCTTTGGAATCGCAGGGGTAACTCCCAATTTTGGTTTAATGCCACCCTCTCTGACCCTTTTTAACCAATAGAGCATACCCCTTATGCCAAATTGCATCTCCTTTGTTTTCCCTGCTTCATTTTCCTCCTGGAAGTTACCACCATCTGACATTTCACAAATTCATTTGTTGATTGTCTGCCTTTGCCAAATAGAACAAAAGCTCAATTGTGCATAAAACTTTGTTTTATTTGGTTTGTACCCAGGGCTGAGAATGGAGCCTAGTGTAAAGCAGGAACTCAAAGAGAAGGAAAGTGACTTTCCCTCACTTGACTTTGAAATCTGTGTTCTTGGATGGATTTGGGGTGAAATAATACATATTACTACCCCTTCGCACCCCAACCTTCAATCGCAGATATCCAGGAAAATAACGAGCTCCTTGCTGTGGGCTGAATGTGTCCCCTCAAACGCATGTGTTGAATCTTAATTGTCAGTGTGACAGTACTGGGAGACGATTAAGTAATAAGGGTAAAACACTTGTAGAGAAAATCAGGTTCATATAAAAGGCCTTCAGAGAGTGGGTTCATTACCCTTTCTGCCCTTCTGTTGTGAGATACAGTATGCATCCCCTTTGGAGGATGCAGTAACAGGCACCATCTTGGAAGCAGAGAGACCAGGGCCTTCACTGGACACCCAACCTGCTGGACCCTTGATCTTGGACTTCCCAGCATCCAGAACTGTGAGAAAATAAGTTTGTTTTTTATCAATTACCCAGTCTCAAGCATTTTGTTAGCGCAAATGGACTAAGACGTGCTCTCCTAAAGGAAAGTACTGGAAGAACTGTCAAAAGGAGGAGACTGTCTCCTTCTGGTTTTATTCCTTCTTCCTTTAGGTGAGAAGAAGACAGGATGGGGTGGGGAGAGGGCTGCATCTAAGCATCAATGTCTCCATCTCCTAAACAGTCCTCACAGTTCCTAGTTCACAGATTTCCTGGAATATCAAATAGCAGTAATTCCTGGAACATAGCAGTGCTGATTAGATACCAAGGCCCCCCTTGCTTGTTGGTATCAATAGCTATCAAATAATTCCCTGGTAGAATACAGCTGTATGTAAAGAAGGACAGTAAATGCCAACATACATGTTCCACGAGCATTTCCGCTTGGGGCTGCTGATGGTGACTTTACATGGCAAATGGTAAAAAGAAGGACAATCCATAAGGTGCTATCTTTGGGGAAAGAAAAGTCTCATTTTATCAAGCATGTTTTTCTTGTGAGACAGGACTATAGGTCAAGCTCAGAAAAACTGCACACAGTCTAGAGTGGGCCTGCCACAAGACAGTATCCTCAGGGGCTCATCTCCCCACAGGATTATTCATGGCCACTGTGCAGAACTAACAGAGGCCCAGGAGACAGCTCTTATCAGGGAGTCAGAAGATGTGGATGCAGGTCCTGTTATGGACTCTGTGCCTCATATTAGCCACCTGACCTAGTAAATCACCACTGGAAACCTGGAAACCAGAGAGTCAAACATTTTCTTGGGTGCCTATGCTAGAGGTTCTCTTACCCGTCATATAATTTAGTCAATATCACAATCCTGGGAAGTAAGAATTACCTCCATCATTTTACAGATGAGGAAACATAAAACCAGGGGATCAAATGACCTCCTCAAACCTAAAAGAGCTAATAAGTCATAGAACTGAAAGTCAAACAGTGATCTTGACTTGACTCTCAAGGTAGGAATCCTTCTATTACAATCCTCAGTTCTCTAAGGGGCCCCTTTTGGGAAATAGATTTTTAAAACATGACCATACAATAATGCATGCTATTAGTAGGTCCAAAACTTTATGAAAATAGCTAGGTAGGCCGGGCACGGTGGCTCATACCTGTAATCCCAGCACTTTGGGAGGCAGAGTCGGGTGGATCACAAGGTCAAGAGATCGAGACCATCCTGGTCAACATGGTGAAACCTCGTCTCTACTAAAAATACAAAAAATTAGCTGGGTGTTGTGGTGCATGCCTGTAATCCCAGCTACTCAGGAGGCTGAGGCAGGAGAATTGCCTGAACCCAGGAGGTGGAGGTTGCAGTGAGCTGAGATCGCGCCATTGCACTCCAGCCTGGGTAACAAGAGCGAAACTCCATCTCAGAAAAAAAAAAAAGAAAGAAAATAGCTAGGTAGAACCAACAGCTTGCAAACTTACTAGTGAAGAACTCCAAAATGAGAACCATGTTTCTGACCTCATAAGAGTGCCGGAACACTTAAGAAAACCATGCACCTAGGAGGGCCCCAGAAATAACAGTTCTTATTGTTTCAAGAGCTAATATTGATATGATTAAGCAATACCACATGCTAGGCACTGCGTGAAATGATTGACACAGGCATGCCCAAGGGAGTCACAGGCAGGCAGTATCTCAATAGAGGAAGTTACATATAGAGAAAAAAGTAGGCATGCCAGCCAAGATTCACAGGCTTCCCTGTCCAGCCCAGTGGTTGCTGTGAGAATCAGATGTACGACATACATGAAAGGGATCCGAGAGCATTCACACAGCAGGGTACATGCACCCAATGTTATGACTGCTCTCCGTGGAACATATACAGCATGTGTGTAATGCAACAGGCTCAGGCATGAATTCTGAAAACCTCAGAATGCTATTCCAGAAAGCCCCATGTAATAAACCTAGTCTCCATTCTCCATTCTCCTTCTAGCTAGTTACCAGCTATATGAACCAAGGGGAAAAAAACTCATTCTAAGTTTTATTTTTCCACAGTTAAAAAAGGGAATACAAATATCTTTCTCTGTCCTATTTTTGCCCGGAGACTGACTACTGCAGACTATAACTGAATTCTCTGGTCTCCTGAGCTTCCTTCTCCATGGCTCCAGTTGTGTTCCATCAACGGAAGGCACAGACAGGAGATCACTGGGTGGAAAGAGAGAGAGTTCAGGGCATTGCTCCCCACTCCCTTCTCATCCTTCATTTACATTTCTGGTAGTAGCTGTATTTTGTGTGGTGAGAAAGGGAGACTTTCTTATCAATTCTGCTTTCCCTGTGTTCCAGTAAATATATATCTTTCTAGGAGTGGAAATAGCTTCCCACTGCTACTACATTCTGAGTTCCTCACCACCCCTCATTTGCTACCTTAAATTTGCCTACCCTTTGCAAGTAACTCCTTCATTAAAGTATCCTCAACTGACCTTACCAGGGTAGATTTTGTTTTTTTCAGGACTCTGACTGACATACTTAGGGTTCTGCACTTAGCTCTCCAGGTGCTGTCTTTGGAGACCTCATCCTTTTCCTTAACTCCTATCACCACAATTTTGCCAATGTCTCTGAAAGCTGACTACTTTAGAAGTCAGTGATGTGGGATGTGACTAGTGGGTAGTAGCTTACTGATAGGAGCTTAAGATCTAGTTTGGGAGCCACAATAAATTAAATGTAAATACAAAACAGAATACAATTAAGGGCAGAACTGTGTCTTGTCCAACATTGGCCCTCTGGGTATCTGGGTTAGAATTCATTTTATCACAGATTAAATGAAGGCTGTGAGACAAATACCTTAGCTTCCCTGAACCTCATATTTCTTCTCCACAAAACAGGGAAGCTAATATGTATCTCATAAGATCAAAAGATACAATATATGTGGAAATGCTTTGTGGACTGTAAATTAACATATTATGATGTCAACAAGGTGATGATGATGATGATGATGATGATGGTGCTTTGCTGGTAGCCAGGCAATGGGTCACTCATACTCATAATATGAATCTCCTCTCAACCCCCTACAATCAGAGAGAAAACTCTCTAATGCAAGAACATGCATTAGCTTTGGAGAGTCTAGCAAAGGAAACAGAATTTTATTCCTCACATGGCCTAACGTGAGCAAGTGGGCCTCTTTACAAGGGTAAGAGGCATTTTGTACTTCTCTGTCTCTTACTTTCCTGGGCAGATGGCCAAATGGAGAATTGATCATTTATGTTTCCGTGTTTCCTAAAGAAAAACCACTGGGAGCTGAAATGTCAACATTCTTCACAGAAACCTGCAAATAATGAAACACAACTGTCTGGGAACCAAGGACCCCTCAAGTTCAGCGTATCTGACAGGAGTATGTTACAGTAGGACAATCTCTCAGGGCTTTGGGGACCTCCTGGTTATGAGAGGTTACAGATGGAGCACTTCAATGCAGGTAACACACACACACACACACACACACACACACACACACACACACACGATCGGTAGCCATTGCTAGGCCTAGTCCAGCTAGCTTGGACCAAGGTTAATCCTGAGTGAGAATGTTCAGGAAGCAGAGGGTAACTCCTGACTCAGACCCACTTAGGCCTCAGTGTTTCCATGAAGGCAGCTGGCCAATGAGGTGCTCTGTGACCGAACCTGGTGAATGGCTATCTCCCAGATGCTGGGAGCATAAGCTCGTTTCTCCTCCTCACTTGTGGCTTTGGGTGAGAACCAGATCTTTGCATTTTCTTCATGTCTTTTAATTAAGATTTGTTAGAGCTTATCTCCATTTGCCAGACTTCATATTCATTGAAGAGGGACTTCAGAAATAATCAAGATCTTGGCCCTTATCCCCATCTTTGCTCAGGGTCTCCTTGGGATGGCAGGTGTGGCTCTATCTGATTGGAGACTTTGAAGCAGCAGCTGAGCATACAAAGACCGATCTCTTCTGGGGGTCTCTGTATAATCTGCCTACTGAGAGAGAAACTGTATTCTCATCTGATCTTATGCACGAGTCATGGGTCCTACTCTGGGCAAGGGTAGGGGTTAAAGGAATAGGGGGATCTGCAGTTGCCCAATGCCCCCACAAACCACATAGAATAGCTCATCTCATTCAAGGATGCTCACTGTGGCTGTGCATCAAAGTCACATCCTCTAGGCCAGCATTTATCAGTCAGAAAGCTGGAGTTTGGGATTCTTCCTATCTAATCCTTATCTATTTATTACTCAGATTTGAACTTGGCAGAAGAAAACTCATCATTGGACTACACTAAAACTGTGTAACATTGCTTAATTATTCAAAAAAGTGCATTAACTTCTTCCAAGGTGATTGTGGAATCATAATTTTATGTCTTTTATGTCTTTTTCTAGTATACTTTATAGTAGATACATAACTATTAAAACAAAGTTTGTGTATATAACAGCTTAACAAATGAAAAGAAAATATATAAATGGATATCCAGTGTAGAAAATTAAGAGTTTTAAAACTCATGATTCTTACAGCTGTACTATAGGGAAACATGGCATCTGTTATATATGCTAACCCATTAAAATTTGTACAGCATAAACAAAAATAATAACTGTGATTTACTAAGCATTTATGAAAGTAAAGGTGATGCAGATTTTATCACATTTTAATACTTTTACACACTTAACAAGCTTTTCTTTTCTCTTACATTTGAAAATATTTTATTGACAAAGTAATATTTTCATGGGCCATTTGAAGATATATATATATATATATATATCATATGATTATACATAGTATATATATATAAAATCATATGATATATTTATGTGCATATATATATATATATAATATATAAGCTCATATATATTATTCGACAAAGGAAAAAGCTAATATATATTATTAGATAAAGGAAAAATGTTCCAGGACAGGAAACTGTATAAATTATAATTCCAATTTTATTATACATGTATAATTCATATATTATGTATGTAAAAGCACAAAAAGAGCTTGCAAATTATACAGAAAAATGTTGACACTGATTGTGGGATTATGGATTATTTCCATTTTTTCTTACATTTTTCTGTATTTTCAAAATATTTCCTAATGTACATAAGTGAATTCTGTAATCAGAAAAATAGTTATATATGTTTGAAATACATATGATTATAGACTTCTTGCTAAATCATTTATTTTTTCAATATTTTTTAACCTTTTTAAAAAAGAAACAGAATATATGGACATCAGAATTTAAGAAAAGTGTTACTTCAGTATACTTTTAAGGCTGTTTAATAAAATAATTTATTTTGTATATTTTAAAAAATTCTAATTTATTTCTTAGATTCCTCAGAGTAAAGGCTCCTTTATGGTATTTAAAATCAGAAACCTCTTCATGATATCTACAAATCCCAAAATATGATTATATATTACTTTAAAACTATTATTTTAAAGTGTTTACGGTACATTAGTAGAAATTATAAGAATTAATGGAATCAACTTTTATCTTACCCTCTCTTACCATATGGCAAAATATAAAATTTATTCAAAAATAACAAGGTGGCAAAATTCATAAAATGTGAGGGACGAAACAATTTGATAATTTTGTATTTTTATTTTTGCAGGAGTTGCAAAATGAAAATAAAATGGAATAAAATGTGATACACTCAAAAATCATAAAACCGGGCCTACCAAAATTTCTCCACGTGGTAGGTGCTCAATAAACATTTGCTGACTCATTGAAATCTCTTCCCAATTAATTTACCAATAAATGAATAAAGTTATTTATGATCATGATGGTAATGGTTTATTTTCCCCATTCACATTAAACACAAGATATTTAAAAGACAATGTTTGCATAGCACCTTGAGTTTCATCATGGAATCTTGACATAACTTGTCTCCCCGAGCTGCGGAAACTTCATCAATCCCGATCAATTTGGCTTTGTACCGGACCCCTTCACCTTTAAACCTCTTTATCAAAGTGGCTTCACTGCGATCCTGACCTAAAAAGAGAAAAAGTAGATTCAAATATGTAGTTGTGCCAACTCCAGTGGCTTTGAGTATCCACAATTCCAAGATCTACCATCTGGTTTCATCTGTATTTTCGGAAAGTCAAATCACTGGATCCAGGAGAAAAGAACAGTAGTATTCCCAGATGCAAATTCTGACTCCATCCATTTAAGTCCTGAGACAAATTACTTCTGCTTTCTGAGACTCAGTTTTCTCAGGTAGGGAAAAATAAGTTAAAAATAACCACCCCAACAGGGCATTATGATAAATAAATCAGATAATATATGTGAAGCATCTAATTCAGGGTTTGATAAACAAGAAATATTCAACACATGATAATAATCACCCACTAAGAGTTCATGGCTGAAATTGTTGTTAGAATAATATTAGCACCGAATCTCTGGCATTGCCAACATTCAATAATAGCTTGGCCAGGGTCCAAGACCCTCTTCCCACCCAATTCCAGGAGCTGTTTTACAGTGAAACTCCAGAGTAATGACCTGAGGACAATTATCAAAAAATGGTTTTATGACATCTCTTCTGGTAACTCATGTGTGCAGGGAAATAGGCTTCCACGCTCCTTGCTATTGTGTGTCCACACCTTCCAACAGGCTCTCTCAATAATTATTAAGATAATGTTTTGCTAAGACACATCATCCAGGAGTTCAAGCATCTCTACATAAAGTGAGGACGATAAAGTTAACCCTGAACCAAGTAAGTGCTTCATGACAGATGTTCTATAAATGCTATCCCCACTCTTCACAACAAGCAAACCATTTTCATTCTCCAGATGATGAAGTCGAAGGTCACAGAGTTTAGGTAGCTTGTCCAAGTAAACATAGTTACAAACAAGATGAATACATAGGAATTCAAACCCATCATTAAGCTCATCATGCTTTGACTAGTCAGAGGTCTGGACATTGTACAGGTGATTTTTTTTTTTTTTTGAGACAGAGTTTCGCTTTTGTTACCCAAGCTGGAGTGCAATGGTGCGATCTCGGCTCACCGCAACCTCCACCTCCTGGGTTCAGGCAATTCTTCTGCCTCAGTCTCCTGAATAGCTGGGATTACAGGCATGCGCCACCATGCCCAGATGATTTTTTGTATTTTTAGTAGAGATGGGGTTTCACCATGTTGACCAGGATGGTCTCCATCTCTTGACCTCATGATCCACCCGCCTCGGCCTCCCAAAGTGCTGGGATTACAGGCGTGAGCCACCGCGCCTGGCCCTGTACAGGTGATTCTTAAAACCTGGAGTGTTCTGGCTGTCTGATATTTATCTCCTAGAATATCAACTTCACCTCTTGATTCCTCCTCCATCATGCTTACCTCCTCTGCCAGAAGCACAGAGCTGAGGACATCAGAGATAATTTGGCCCATTCTCCTCTATCTATAGACATGCAAACTAAGGCCTTTCTATACTGTGGGGTTGAGGATTATCAGAAGAAATGCTTAAAATAGAAAAAAAGCAATAGCAATCACTAACCATCATATAGTACTTTTCTACTGACAAAACACAACTTTCATTTAATTCATTTATTCGTTCATCCCTTTCTGAGCATCTCCTCTGTACCAGTGCTATTATTCATTGCAACAGATGAATGAGACAACATCTGTACCCTCAGTAGCTTCAGTTTTTGATGGCTACAAATATGAATGCATTTGTATTATGCTTGGTGTGCGAAGGTTCAAGCTTTAGAATCAGACATCCTCATTTCAAATCATGACTCCCTCTCTTAAGTCAACTAAACTGTCTGAGCCTCAGTTTTTTAATGTGCTGAATGACAATAAAGTATTTACCTTACAGCATTAGTATAGATGGTAGCTTCAATGAGATAGTATGTGTGAGGCAAGTATTTATATGGTATGTTTTCTGCAGATGGTAGTTGTCACCACTATTTTTTTTTTTTTTTGAGACAGTCTCACTTCTTCACCCAGGAGTACAGTGACGCCATCACAGCTCACTGCAGCCACGACCTCCCAGGCTCAGGCGAGTTTCCCACCTCAGCCTTCCAAGTAGCTGGGACAACAGGCACGCACTGTCATATCTGGCTTTTTGATTTTTTTTTTTTTTTTTTTGTAGAGAGGGTTTTGCCATGTTGCCCAGTCTTGGACTCCCAGACTCAAGCAATCCACCACCTTGGCCTCCCAATGTGCTGGGATTATAGGCATGAATACCACTATTATAAGCCCAGGCAGAGAGGTGGAATGTCTGCCCAGCCAGGCCTGGACCTGTAGTCCTGACTGCCAGTTTTGTTTTGTTTGTTTCCATGACACCCCTGTTGACTCCTCGTATATTAAAGCCTTTAAGTAATAGTCCATAAAGTAATATAACACATGGATAATTAGAAACTATGATCAGTATAATAATTAAGCCTCAGTGTTCTGTGAGAGCAGATGTTAGAGACTGAAGCGAAGAAGAAAGGGAACATTTGACATAATACACCTTATGTCATGGCTAAACATCTCTCCTCTTCAACACATGACACCATTTCAGTCCATAATAACATCTCTTTCACCACTGAGGTTTCCTCAAACTTTAATTATGATAACAATACCAGGTAACGTTCATCACAAAGCATGTTATATGCATCAACTTGTTTAGCCCAGAAAATAATTACAGAGGTAGGTATTCAGGTTTTATAGACGGGGCTCTAAATTGAAAGTATTAGAGGTCGTGTAACTTGTCTAAACTTACTGAGCAGAACCTGAACCTAGATTTGTCTAATGTTAAAATCTATGCTTGTGGTTTGCTTGTGTTCTGTGGTTTCAAGCCTATTCGCCTAACCACCATGATTAATTGCTTCTCTTCTACACAACTTTCTTATAAAGCCCCATCTTTATCTTGTACCAAAACTCACCTGGCCCAAATATGATGGTACTCAATACACTAGCAGTATTAAAACTCCACTGGAGGATGGAGAGACAGCTTGAAAATGGAACAGATTCCAGTCATCGGTCATCTCTAAGAAAATGTCTAGAAGTCAGATACAAAGACAGCCTTAAGAAACATTTGTCAGGGCACAGAACTCTGCCGAGAAACAAGATTCACAAGAAAAGGCAGAGCCATAGCAGGTGAACAAGGGCAGAGATTAATAAGAAAATATTAGGCCATTTAGAGAAAAGTAGGGAGCCCAATTTTAGATTAGGACCTAGGGCCAAGCTAATTTGTATGAAGGGCACTTATGCAGTAGATAATCCAGTTTCTCATTAAATGCTTCACCATTAAAAGGGTAATTTTTCATGAGCACATCTTGAGCAAGGTCTCAGTTATATTAGTTAAGAAATAAATAACAGATATCAGAGCCATAAGGCTTTAATTCTATCTGAGGCACATACAATATAAAGGTGTTACAAAGAGGATCAGTCTTCATGCATGTTAGGTCACCATGAATCTCAGCCTATGTTGCTGAAAACAGCACTGATCCTCTGTTTCAAGATGGACAAGAGAAAGACCATGTATTTAAGGAAAATCATACATATGGTTATTGAGTATTTAGCACAGTTGCTGCGCCAAGAGTTTCATCTGCAATTTCTCATTTAATCTTCACATTTGTTCTTGAGTTAGTCTCCTTAATGAGTCCTATTGTGCAGAAGACAACATAAACACCCAAAGTCCACAGGATACCTTGAATTTTTAAATAACAGCTATATTGAGTTATAATTCACATGCTGCACAATTCGCCATTTAAAAGTACACAATCCAGTGGTTTTAGAATAGTCACAGAATTGTATAACCATCACTACTGTCTAATTTTAGAACATTTTTGTCATCCCAAAAAGAAGCCCTCTACCCATTAGCTGTCACTCCCCATTTTCCCATTCCCTCTGATGCTAACCAACCACTAATTTCTTCCCATCTTTATAGATTTGCCTATTCTAGACATTTTATATAGTTGTTACCTTATAATATTCAATTTTTTTTTTTTGCTTTGCCTTTTTAGCAGCATGCTCTCAGGTTCATCCATGTTATATCATGTATCAGTCATGCATTTTTTGCTGAATGTGATTGTATTTTGTGGTTATACCACATTAGTTGATAGACCTTTGGGTTATTTCTACTCTTTGGCTATTACAAATAACACTGCTGTGAACACTTGTGTACAGGTTTTTGTGTTGCTGAATATGTTCAATTCTGTTAAAATTTTTCCTAACAAAGGAATTGTTGGGTCATATGGTAACTCTATGTTTAACTTTTTGAAGAACTGTCAAATTGTTTTTCCAAAGCGTCTGCACGATTTTACACCCCTCCTAGCCAAATCTAAGGTTCCAGTTTCTTTACCAGATGTTCTTTCCAACATCTGTTATTGTCCGTCTTTTACTTTAGCTATCCTAGTAGGTATTAAGTGATAGTTCATTGCAGCTTTGATCTGCATTTCCCTAAAGAGTAATGATGTTGAGCATCTTTTCATGTGTTTATTGTTCATTTGCATAACTTCTTTGGAGAAATATCTTTTCAAATCCCAGAACCTCCGTTTGAACCCAGGTCTTATGTAAAATTTCATGGTCTTAGCCATTAGGCTATGGGGCTTTCTGTGACCTATTCTGTGTTCTGATACAGAATTTAGCCTCTTTTGTTTGTTACAGCTACTTGAGTAGATGTCTCAGATGTCTTACTCCTAAGACAGGTAGTTCACAAGCACACACGCCCTTCTCATGTCTTATGTCATTTAATCTTCCAAGGTTACTGAAAACCAGCACTGTTATTATTTTATAGATGAAGAAAACTGGAGCCAGAGAGGTAACTAAAGTTACTTCAGGTTGAGCTTGGAATAGAATCTCATCCTGTCCTACTCCAAGACTTGAGTTCTCCCACTGGGAGGTAATAGGCCTTAATGGTCTAGAACATGAGCTCTGGATCCAGAAGACCTGAGTTCAAGTTCGAGCTCTCCCATCTGCCCCCTTAGTTGTATAGTCATGGGTAAGTTCCTTTACATGTCTGTCACAGTGTCCAAGTATAGATACTAATGGGTGCTCCCAGTAGGGACATTGT